CACCTCAATTTTATAGGAACACCTCCATTTTTATAGGAACACCTCAATTTTATAGGAACACCTCCATTTTTATAGGAACACCTCCATTTTTATAGGAACACCTCAATTTTATAGGAACACCTCCATTTTTATAGGAACACCTCCATTTTTATAGGAACACCTCAATTTTATAGGAACACCTCAATTTTATAGGAACACCCTCATCTTTATAGGAAAACACCCTCATTTTTACAGCAACACCCTCACCTTTATAGGAACACCCTCATTTTTATAGGAACACCTCAATTTTATAGGAACACCTCCATTTTATAGGAACACCTCAATTTTATAGGAACACCCTCATCTTTATAGGAACACCTCAATTTTATAGGAACACCTCCATTTTTACAGGAACACCTCAATTTTATAGGAACACCCCCATTTTTATAGGAACACCCTCATCTTTATAGGAAAAAACCGTCCTTTTCATAGAAACACCCTCATTTTTACAGCAACACCCTCATTTTTACAGCAACACCCTCATCTTTATAGGAACACCCTCATCTTTATAGGAACACCTCAATTTTATAGGAACACCTCCATTTTTATAGGAACACCTCCATTTTTATAGGAACACCTCAATTTTATAGGAACACCTCCATTTTTATAGGAACACCTCAATTTTATAGGAACACCTCAATTTTATAGGAACACCCTCATCTTTATAGGAACACCTCAATTTTATAGGAACACCTCCATTTTTATAGGAACACCCTCATCTTTATAGGAAAACACCCTCATTTTTACAGCAACACCTCGATTTTATAGGAACACCCTCATCTTTACAGCAACACCTTCAATTTTCATGCTAAATTTTGGGAACTTTCCCCTTCTCCCCACACCAACCTGAAGGAGAAGGCCTCGGGCAGGAGGTAGACGCCGTCCCCCACCCGGTAGCGGACGCCGTTCTTGGTGGCCGAGGCGTAGAACATCTTGCCGTCCTCCTCCCGCAGCGGCTCGGCCACCCTGGGGATCTCCTTGTGCCTCACCTCGTCCAGGCGGGCGCAGCTCAGGCAGAACCTGGAGAGAAAAAATATTAAAAAGTAGGGAAAAAATAAAAAAAAAAAAAATTAAAAAAAAAATAGAAGGTTGTGGAGGCGAGGAGAGGCTTTTAGAAGGGTTAATCGGAAGGTTTCACCGCAAAAAAAAATCGCTTTTCTCTCCCTCTCCCTTCTCTCCTCGCTCAAAGGAAGATTTTGTCACCTAGCAGAGTTCAGCAGATCCCTAAAAACCCTCTGAGAAGCTCAGGGGGGGAATAAATCCCAGCAGATCCCTAAAAACCCCCCAAAAACAGCGAGCAAGGAGCTC